TTTTAGCTAACCTTTTGCTACTTTTACCTAACCCTTTGCTACTATTAACAAGCCTTTTGATACTTTTAGCTAACCTTTTGCTACTTTTAGCTAACCCTTTGCTACTATTAACAAGCCTTTTGCTAATTTTAGGCTAGCTTTTTGCTACTTTTTAGCTGTTTTGCTCATTTTAGCTAGCTTCCTGCTACTTTTAGTTTCTGTTCTGTTACTTTTAGATTTTAGTCAGAACAATACTACGTTAAGCTAGTGTTTTGCTGCTGTAGCTAGCCTTTGACTACCTTCAGCTAGTGTTTTACCTTTTTAGCCAGTGCTATGCTAATTTTAGCTAGCTTCCTGCTATTTTTAGCTTCTGTTTTTTTCTAGATTTTAGCCAGAACGTTACTGCTTTAAGCAAGTGTTTTGCTGCTTTAACTAGCTTTTGACTACCTTAAGCTAGTGTTTAACTTCTTTTAGCGAGCTATGCTCATTTTAGCTTGCCTTTAGCTTTTACCTAGAACTTTACTACTTTTACCTGTGGTTTTTATCCTATCTAGAGTTCTACTTATTTTAGCTTTAGGAACGCAGTTCTGGCTTTTTCAGCAAATCTTAGCTGTCGTTCAGCTCTCAGAGTGTATTTTCATTATTTGTTTATTAATTAATTAATTTATTTATTTACTATGCATAAATAAGTTCAGAGCCAGAGGTCAGAGTTGGGTGGAAAAGATTTCCGGTACAAAAACTGAAAATGAGAGGAAAAAACATCCAAAGTTTTAAAAATACATTCAGAAAGTCTGGAGATCTGCCGATAAAGACTGGAAGATCTGAGGAAACCAGATAGATGAAGAGTTTTGCACGGCGCTGTGAACTGTAACAGTGGACTAAAGCCCGATTTACCAGGATGCCTTTCAGCTCGTCCATGGCACTCTCCTGCAGTTTGTCCTCAGAGGGGGGAGGCTGCAGGAACAAAAACATGACATTTTTATTATTTGTATAAAAGAAGACAGAAATTACCGCCGTTCACTCTGAGCTGATATAAAATCTGATCTAGTTTATTTTAGGAGAGGAAAAGGAAGGACCAGAGACCAGTCTGTCATCTGAACTGATCAGAACCAGGATCATCAGGGGGTGTGACAGTGATGGGTCAAAGGGAGGGGGGGAAATGTCAATAAACTCACTTTGACTGCTGCTCTCTGGGACAAACAGGAAGCATGGAGAGGAGAGAGAAGTTAGAACCAACTGAGAACTCAGAGACAGGCCCAAACCTCTCACCTTCTGCTGACTTTGACCATTCTGGACCCATTTTGTGTTTCAGAACCACAAGAAACAAGTCGGACAGAGACACGGAAATGATTAACAACAAGGCATAAAAACAAAGAAAGGAAACAGTAGCCACAAAGAAACACAGAACAAGAAGAAAGGTTACAAAATAAAGACACAACGGGCAAAACGAAAGAACAGAAACACCAGAGTAAAATCTGAAAAAATACCCGTGATTAAGTGAAAAAACACTAAAAAAACAGGAAAATACGCAATGACAGCAAAACAACGTGGTCAGAATTATAAAAATCATAAATAAATACAAGAATGAAGAGATTTGAACTGGAACATGAACACAAAGAGACAGTAAAGACAAATTAATTATAAAACAAGGTTACACACAAATATCTAATAAGAAATAATAAAAAGGTAAAGGGCCACAAAAAGACAAAGGATCACAGGAAAACACAAAAAAACTAGTTGTTTGCTAAAATTATTCCCAACACATTAAAAATATAAAGACATCCAAGATGTCCTCAGATTTTTACAGAAAGACAGAGAGACCAAAAAAAAATGAAATCAGCTGCAACAAACTGAAAATAAAACACACAAATCTGTATTTTTTTATTTGATGAGACTGGTCAGTCACCCAGTCGTCTCACTTCAAAGTCAACTTTATTGTCAAAACTGCAATATGTACAGGACAGGATTGAAATGTCATTACTCTCAGACCCCTGGTGCAACAATAACCATTAACCATTTAATAAACAATAGCATAAAATGAAATAATAAAAGTATGGTATAATCCTAAATTGTAAGTATAGCAGTACAAATATAAAAAGTAAAGTAAGTACACTTCAGGTGTCCAGCGAGTCTTTTCATTTTAAAACTGACTACAAATCTGTTGTTAACCCCAGTAACCCCAGTAACCCCAGTAAACCAGAGGTTTGCCTTCTTTACAAAGGAAATCGTTTTGGACGGCGGCCGTCCTCACCTTGTTGTCCTGACTTTTGACGGGACGCAGGACGACGCCGTGTTTGATCCGCTCCATCATCTCGTTCACCGCCTTCACCTTCACGTCGTCCACGCCTTCGGCTGCTGCGGAGACACAAGGTCCCGAGGTCATGAGCCGCACGTGAAAACGAATCGATTATTCAGAAGAAGCTCACCTGGAGTCGGCTCCACCTTCACTTTGGAGACTTTGGAGGACTTCCTCATGATGGCGATCAGAGAGCTGAGGAAGGAGACATGGAGGTAAAGCTGGGATCGGTCGGAGGTTTGAAACAGTGGTGGTGTTTTAAAACAAATCTCCACACTCCGACCACATCCAGAGATTAGTCTGAACCATTTCCTTCACTTTTGTCTGATAGTCTGAACCCAATCTGACTCCAGGTGAGCAGCAGTCATCACCTGGACGTCTCAGGAATGTGAAATCCTGGGGTTTTTAAAAGACAAAGATTGTCCCCGCCTCAATAAATCATTTGAGGAAACTATACTTTCAAGCAATATAAAAAACGGAAAGATTATACATTTATACAGGTAAAATGCTGCATTTATGCCTCCTACAAATTGTTTAATTAAAATAATTATGCGACCAGAGCCAAGTTTCTGTTTTAGACATTTCCATGGAACGTGGGAACAATTTTCCTTTTGGGTTTCACTATCGTGCACGGATGCATGGCAAATGTTTAGACGCCTGTTTTTATAGATTACAATAGTCCCTCGCTACTTCGTGGTTCATTTCTTGCAGACTCGCTCTATCGCGGTTTTTCAAAATAAGATTGGACATGACACACAGTTGGCTGATTGATGGATGAGCCGCACGATCAGCATGGAATTTTAATTTAAAACAAATTGTTATGAATTATTTAGAAACTGCTGCACATGTGTGCAGCACATACTGCAGGATAAACTTCCTGCTGCAGCTGATCAGCTGTTCTCCGTGCAGAGCTGAGAAGTGGGCGTGGCCAAGAACGCTTGCAGGTGGCAAAGAGCTGAAATCATCATGTTCTGTGCTCTTTTAGAGCGTTCAGCGTTTAGAAACATTGTTTAAATATTGCAAGAGTGTGGGAAGGGTTTTAAACGCCTTAATATAATATATATAAATATATAAATACCAAAATAAAATACTACTTGCTACTTGTACTGCTAGTCCTACTTGGCGGTTTTTCACTTATCATGGGGCTTCAGGGTACGGCTCCCATGCGATAAACGAGATAAACAACTGTATATATTTACTGTAAAAAGAAGAAGACGCTTCAGTTGTAAGTCACATGACTGCGTGAGCCGGAAACTGACTCAAACGCTCCAAAAAGACAAAAAATTGGTGTGGGCCGTGTGCACAAAGATGCCCGGTGATCCTGTTGGTTTAGTTTCTTCAACGTTTCTTCCTGACAAACATAAATTTTCTACATATACAAAGACTGGAAGAAAACATCTTAATATTTAAGAAATTCAACATAATACACATGATTTTATCAATTTTGTCCCATAACTGGTATATTGTTTTAACTTGGTGCGGCTAGAGTCAAGCAGGAAGTGACATCAAAGGGGAACTCTCTGGTCTTTGTTAATTGAAACAATATTATTTGAACTCTGATGCTTCTCTCTGATCGAGACTCTGAAGAATAATCAGAAGAAACATCAGACTCTCCTCGATGGTCTGCGTGGTTTAGCTGTTGTAGCGATGCTCCGTTCACATGAAGGTCACCTTTACCACTTCCTGTTTCTGCGCATGAGAATATCTCAACAACTGTTTATCTCAGCAGCTTGTTGACGATATTTTGAAGAGACAGCTTTTCTTTTTGTCTGTTTTATTTCACTACATGTTTTATTACACTGTTTATCAAGACTTTAAATTATTTTAGAGAACAGCTGACGGCCAGGAAGTAACTGACTGCGTTATCACAGGGGTGGAAGAAGTGTTTTATGGGTAACTGACATCAGTTTACCACCAGGTGTGAACAGAGGCGACCGAGCGCAACAGATCTGTAACAACAAGCCTGAATGTACAGTGGCCCTAAGGTGTAAATGAACATTTGAAAAAATAGAATTACATTAGAAAAAATGGAAATTATATAATTTTTGAGTGATTCCATTTTTTCTAATGTAATTCCGTTTTTTCCAATGTGATTCTGTTTTTTCTCATGCAATTCCGTTTCTTTCAAATGTGATTCCGGCCACTTCCGCTTTGGCTGCTTCCGCTTTGGCTTAATGTAATTCCTTTTATTTTCAAATGTAATTCCATTTTTTTCAAATGTAATTTCGTTTTTTCAAATGTTGTTGTGTTTTTGTTCTGTTTTTTCAAATGTAATTCTGTTTTTTCAAATGTTGTTGTGTTTTTGTTCTGTTTTTTTCAAATGTAATTCTGTTTTTTCAAATGTAATTCTGTTTTTTCAAATGTAATTTCGTTTTTTTCAAATGTGATTCTGGCCACTTCCGCTTTGGCCACTTCTACTTTGGCCACTTCCGCTTTGGCCACTTCCACTTTGGCTACTTCCGCTTTGGCCACTTCCACTTTGGCCACTTCCGCTTTGGCTTAATGTAATTCCTTTTTATTCAAATATAATTCTTTTTTTTTTTTTCAAATGTAATTCAATTTTTTCAAATGCTGTTGTGTTTTTTTTTTTTTTCAAATGTTCATTTACACCTCAGGGCCACCGTATGAACGGCCTCTAAGATGCTGTGTTTGGTTTTCACCTGAGGGGGTTGCATCTGGAAGGGGGAGGTGGTGGAGGAGGTGGTGGAGGAGGAGGAGGAGGGGGAGGAGGTGGCTGTGGGGGTGGAGCAGGAGGCGGGGCCACCCCAGGCGATGGGGGAGGAAGGTCTGTGGCGGCTGCCAACTCCCTCTCGGTCTCCTGGAGCTCGAGGACTGAGGAGAGGAAACACATAAAACATCTGGATGATCATCATCATATCTTTCTTCATTACCATCTTCATCATCCTCTTCACCTTTCACTAAAACTAACTCTTCAAATATTGCAGATATGTCGTGTTCTTTGTTTCGTTGTTAAATAATTATTCTCTCCAACGTTCGGGCTGAACACACGAACCAACGCCATGCATCAAGAAAAACAACTCTTCTGTTCGGCTTTTTATCACTAGCCACTGAAAAACTAACAATGATGTCAGTGCGCATGTCTGTTAGCAAAATATCTCAGGAACCACTGGGCAAATGTGAAGGAAACTTGCAGAACGTAATTCTTTAATACATCTGATTAACTTTTAGAGTCAGCCTGATTAAAGATGGCTGCCTCAGCTAACTGACTGAAGAAAACAGGAACATGGCTACCGCTCAGTCAGTTTTACAGATATTCACCTAAAGTTTGGTGTGGTGGTAGCTGAGCCTTAACCTCAACACGAGCCCTGAGTGTCAGGTCGAGCCTAATGTTATTTTATCATTAACACTTGTTTCTCATTATAAGTTGATCTCAGTTTAGAACAGGCGGCGGGCGACATGCATTCCTTCATAAATGCTTTTAATTAGCAGCTGAAGTCAGCTGATCACATGACCTCATTAGAAGCCTTGAACAGATGTTGCACGTGGAGAACTCTGCACGTTTCCTGCAGCAGACGGGTCCACAATTTAATGACATGAACCCAACCGTTAGTAACCATTGGTTGGTAATTAGTTCTGTTACTAACCTTAAAGGGTACTAAGAATTGGGGGGGGGGGGGGGGGTATCAGGGGCAGAGCAGTCCAAAAATCAGGTTTAACCATGAAGATGTTTCCATGTTGGTGCAAGAAAAACACTACGCTCGTACTGCAGGTCTCAATACAATTCTGTGTTCCTTCACATCATAATGGAAACGTAACCTCCATCAGACTCCAGAGTTAACGGTCCACGGTTCTGAAGCGACCCGCAGAAGACGACGTGACGTCACACAGAGCACGCCGTGCGTACAGAAGGAAATATGGATGCTGCACGTTAGCATGCGTGGAGTCTGAAGTTGCTGTGCAATCATAACCGATTAAATTATTATCTGATTGACTGGTCCAGTTGAACCTGCCTCCTCCTGACTAATCAGGTGCAGGGACCGGAGCAACTGTAAAAATGAAACAAACTCAATTATCAGCCCCGTCACGTTAGCAGAGATACGGTCCAACACCAACGTTGATATCAAACGTAGATTCTCAGACGTCCAGGACTAAGTAAATAAATAACTGGACTTGTGTCCTTTAGTTGAAGACGTGTGAAGTTCTGTGATTTAAACTGCATGACGTTGGTGTCAGTATCATCAATATTTGGATCAGTCCACCTTCCTCTGCTTCACTGAGCTGTATGGAATGCAACCTAACCGTTCAGACCGAGGTCGAACTAGAACAAAATTTCATTTGTCGCGTTCAGACTGTCAGACAAATTTAAAAAAAGAGAGATTTGGACCACTTTGGCTTGGAGAGTGAACGTAGCCTATAGATGAATCTCAGCTACAGCCACAACAAGTTTTAGCTCAACACCTGTAAGATTAGCTGAGTTACATCACTTGGCTGTGGTGGCCATCTTCAACTGGTTTGACTCTAAAATCGAATCAAGGACTTCCTGTCGCTGTAGTTCACGTGCAGCTGATGAGCTTTGACCTCTCGTGTTGTTTTTCACCTCTTTTCTCCAGCTCCTCGTTCTTCTTCTCTGCCCGCTGCAGTCGTCCCTCCGTCTCCTTCTTCTCCACCTCCAGAAGCTCCAGCTGTCTCTGAAGGTCCTCCAGCTGTTTCTTCACAGTGCTGTCCTCCAGCTGGGCCTCCAGGCTCTGCACCTACACACACAGAATGACCGACAGCTCGGCTAAAGGAGGTCCGATTTAAGGCTTTATCCAGAGTGTTACGCTGAATTTTGAGGCAAATCAAATTGTTTTGGTCTTTAAGGTCAAAAAGGTGCCATATAATATCAAAAACTGCTAAGATGTTGGTTTTTATAGCACCGTTTAATTGTTTATGAGGTCATATCTCAGCTAAAGCTGCAATGGTTCATTTTCTTTGTCCCGCAGGAGAAACACAGACATCTAAGAATCAACTGAAAGTAAAAAATAAGTTCTGAAGAAAAGAATTTGAAAAAGTTTTCCAGTTTATTTTAGTAAATAAACTGAAGAAGAGTTGCTAAAACAAATACTTGAGAACAAAAGCGCATGTTTAAACGTGTCACTGCTTGGGTTTGTTGTCACCACTTTTTAAACACGTTGCTTCCAGGTGCGGCACGAAGACAATCTGAATAAATAAGTAGCTAAAAACACTCAGCGTGTTCCAAAACGACCGTTGAGGAGCCAAAGCTCTGATGAATCCAAAGTAATTCAGACGGTGTTTTCAGGCAGTTAATCAGCGAACCTTTGTTCCTAAACATCCAGGTTTGCGGTTTTTATTCTATATGTGTTGTCACATATGCTGGTGAAGATTCTCAGTCATCCAGGACATGGTAAATTAAAAAAAGTTCAAGACAAAAACAACTGGACTTTATTAAATAAAGTCCAGGTGTTTTTGTCTTGAACTTTTTAGAATTTGTGTTTTCTTCACAGCTTGTTTCTGCTGCCCCCAAGAGGCCACAAACTGCAATTACACCAAAAACATAAAAAACTCAAATGGAAAATGGACTGTACTTACTGGTTTATATATCACCTTTCTATCTTATCACATTCATACACCGATGGACACACATCGGAGGCAATGAGGGGTTCAGTGTCTTACCCAGGGACACTTTGGCGTGTGACTGCTAGTGGAATCAAACCCCCAACTCTCGCATTGGAGGACAGCTGCTCTAACCACTCGTCCACAGCCGCCACGTTAAAAATACAACTGTGGCCAAACTGAGGAATTATTTCACAAAATGCATTCTAAGGCAAAGTCGCTCTGAGAAAATGGACTTTAATTAATATCTGTTGCCATGACTCATGAGCAATCATGTATTCCCACTGCCTGTGTTTGTTTTGATCGGTCTGTTAGCAAAATATCTCATGAACCAGAAGACAAACTTCAATTAAATTATCAGAAAGTAATCAACGGATGTCTCTTTGTTTCTATGGGGTGCCGTTTGTAAAGTTGCACAGTCAAAAATTAACAGCGATATTTTGGTTAATTTAGCCTTTCATAAGAAAAAAAGTTGTTTTTTAAATAAATGTTTAGCTTAGAAATTAAATATTTAATTTAAACCTAAATATTTAGTTTACTAACTAAATATTTAACTTGCAAGTTAAGTATTTAGTTAGTAAACTAAATATTTAGCTTGTAAATTAAATATTTAGTTTGGAACTATGATGTTTATAAATAAAGGAATAACATAGTGAAAATATGACTCTTTTTTCTTATTAAAGGCTAAATAAACCAAAATATTGCTGTTAATTTTTGACTGTGTAATTTTGTAAACGACACCCCATATCGATTGTATACCTGGATTATTGAGCATGGACTTTGTTGGCACCCCATATGTTTCTACAATTAATTTGTTTTTTAAGTCCATAATTTCAAGATGGCCACCACTGATAATTGTCATAAGTGGCTAAAAGTCGGTCATTTTCAGATATTCAGCTAAAATTTGGTGTGGTAGTAGCTGAGTGTGCTGTTTTATACAATTTACAGTAAATGTTTCAATCTTTTTATATAAATGTTTAAAATGTGTCAGTTTCAAATTTACAAATAAATGTGAAGTTATGTAGGGTACGGACTAAATTATTAGAGTTTTTTATTGTTTTTGCAAGCATCTACGTGTCTAGCTGAAATGTTAAGTTTTCTCTCCGTTGGACTAAATCTAGAAAATACGATGTAAGCGTGACGAATCCAAAGCATCGAGGCTGAGGGGAAACAAATGTTTGAGGTTTTACCTGCTGCTGATGCTGCAGACGCTCCTCCTCCAGCGTTTTGGTGACGACGGCGACGTCCTCCAGAGCTTTGAGCAGCAGGACGCTGGGCTCGGCGCTCTGCAGCAGCAGCATGCTCTGCCTGTTGGCCTCCTTCTGCTTCACCAACATCTGCACGACACCAAGGAGGAGGTGAAGCAGAGCAGCTGGAGAGAGGTCTAAATAAACTCTGGAGGCTGAGTCCTTTCAGATCAGCAAACACCACAGAGGGGTCAATTCAGCCAAATAGCTCGTCGTTTTATTGTGCAACATTCACGCAGCCGTTTCCTGTTTCTAGTTTCTCCTGGACGTTTTTTATCATCTTCCTACTTCAGTTTGCGTTCAATAATTTTACTTTCTCGTGTGTCAAAACGTCTCATTCAGGAGAAGGGTGCGAAGACTTTTGGTTTATGTAAATTTGACCGGTTTTAAAATATTTAACTTTTTGGTTTCCTCGAATGAATTTAAAAATTTTAGCTGCGCTTTTAAATGTTTGCATTGCTAATTTCAGGTTTTAGCTAAAGTTTTAACATTTAATTTTTAAGTGCTGTTGAGCTATATATTATTTAGCAACAAGTCTCATGTTTTATTTGAATTACTATTTTTCTAATTTTACTTTTTAGCTACCTTTTTGGTGGTTTTAGCATTTAGCTATGAATTTGATCATTTTAGCTATGTTTTGCTAAATTTACATTTGAGCTATTGTTTTGGTGAGCTTTGTTTTTAGCTTTGCTTAAACTAATTTTAGTTTTCTGCTATTGTTTTCTTCATTTGAACATTTAGCAATGAATTAGCTAATTTAAACATTTAGCTTTTTATTTTATTTTTCTTTTGGCTGCTCTCTTCTTAAGAGGTCGCCGCAGCGAATTAAGTTGCACGAAGACTTGGCAATTGTTTTTACGCAAAATGTCCTTCCTGACGCAAACACAGACACCGAGCTACCACAGCCCTCTGTGTGGAGCGGTGAGCTGCATCTAGGGCACCCGGGGGAGCAGGGGGTGGGGGTTAAGAACTTTGCTCAAGGGCCCAGAGTGGGGCAAATGAGGGTGGAGGCAGGTGTGGGTGCTTCACTGTCCCCACCCACATTTTTGATGTTGTCGGTAATGGGGCTTGAACCGGCGATCTTCCGATCACAGGTCCACCTTCTCTAACCTCTGCGCCACCACTCCAATTGAGTGTTTAGCTATGAATTACCTAATTTGAGCATTTAGCTATGAATTAGCTAATCTGAGCATTTAGCTACAAATTACCTAATTTGAGCATTTAGCCACAAATTACCCAATTTGAGCATTTAGCTATGAATTACCTAATTTGAGCATTTATCTATGAATTATCTAATTTGAGCATTTAGCTATGAATTACCTAATTTGAGCATTTAGCTATGAATTAGTTAATTTGAGCATTTAGCTATGAATGATCTAATTTGTGCATTTAGCTATGAATTAG